TTTACCTTTCTTGTCACGCTCATAGGCTCTGACTATGTCGGGAGCAGTCTCTAGAAGTTCTGCTTTCGTGAACCAGCGGTCGTCTTCCGGTTCCTGATAGGCAAACCAGACTTTATACTGTTTCTGGGACGACCTCTACCTCCTGTCCTAAACATATCCTCTTCTACGATACCCTCTATGTCATAGCTCCCATCCATATCCGGTGGGATCAGGGATCTCCTGGAACGGAACTGTTGACTAGTGACACACGACAGTAACTTTGAAGCATGGAACACAGGGTATGTGTGGAGGTGTGCTGGAATCTCAATGCTGTAGGACGGTTCATCCTCTCTGCCCTTGACTTCTAGAACCGGCCACGGTCCTCTATATGCAGGCAGTAATTTCTGCGAGATGTTTTCTTCCGGTGCAAACTCTTTTGCCTTGACCCAGACTAAGTCACCTACTTGAAACTGTGATGGGCGACGGTGCTTGTTAGCGTGCTCTATCATTTTGTGTTGAGCCTTCCGAAGGTTTTCAACAACAGTGGCTAATTCCTTTTCGTGTTGTATCGCGAACTCCCTGGTACCGGGTGGTAATCTATGAATCTGATCCCGGTTCAGTCCTTCGAACGGTCTGCGTGGTCTAAAGGACTTGTGCAACTCATTGGGAGTGCGGCAGGTCGATAGCTGCACGCTGTTGTTGTATGCACTAGCTACTTTAGGCAACATCTCATCCCAGTTCATCTGATCTGGTCTATTGTACATGCGCAGAACTTGCTGTAGGATCTTGTTCATTTGTTCTGTCTGGCCGTTAGTCTCTGGGTGACGGCCGGATGACATTAACAACTTAGATCCGTAGACTCTCATTAGTTCTTACCAGTTCTGGCTGGTGAAACGACTGTCCCTATCACTAACTATTGACGATGGGATTCCATTCTCACTAACCCAAAAGTCAAAGAACTTTTGTATTCCTAAATTTATACGTGCCTCTGCAGGCAAGGGAACAAAAACTGCATACTTACTAAAACAGTCGATTATGACCATGACTTGGCTCTTACCATGTCTGCTCTTGACTTGCGTGTCCATGAAGTCTATGGATACCGAGTCTCCCGGCTGATCCGGAATAGGGAAGGGTACGAGAAGACCTAAGGGCGCGCGTGTAGTAGATTTATTCCTCTGGCACACTTTACAACTGCGGACATACTTTATGCAGTCGTTCTTCATCTCTGGCCATGTGTACGCACGCATCAGATTGGCTAACGTCTTTTGCCAACCAAAGTGTCCCTCAGTATCGTGACATTCCCCTAGAATCAGACTACGAATCTCTTCGCTGTTGGGAACGCACAGGCGGTCAAACACATTAGTCTTCTCAAACAGCAACCCGTCTATAGTGCGGTAATCTGGTTCGGTCTCTGGGGTCTCTCTAACTCTCTTTAGGAGGTCGCTATAGATAGGGTCCTGCGTATACGCTTGTTTCACTTTCTCCTGCAGGTCTCTCCCTATATCCAGATAATGTACYACGRCTCCAAAGTAGTCTGATCTCCTACTTAGAGCATCCGCCACTACATTGTACTTGCCCTTCACTGGCTTGAGCTCAAAGTCRAATTGGTCTATCTCTGCGGCCCACCTAGTCAACTTAGGTGTCATCTTGGCCTGGGTCTTTAGCCAACGAAGTGTCTCATGGTCAGAATACATTTTGAAGTGCCTCCCAAGCAGATAGTGCTTCCAATGGTCTAAAGCCTGCCTGAGAGCGTAGAGCTCTCTCTCGTACGTGGATCTAGCGACCTTCTCTCAGGGCATTCTCGCTGACATGAACTCTACGGGTCTATAGCCATTGCCGTCGTCTTGCTGCAACACGGCGCCTATTCCATACTGACTTGCGTCCGTGGTAACGACAAATGGCAAGGACGGATCTGCTACTTTGAGGACAGGATATTCTATTAACGCGCGAACTTCCTGTAGTAGTTAGCTAGGCCTAGGAACCACCGCAACTCTGTCAATGTGCGGGGCGTCGGCCAATCTCTAATCGCCGCTATCTTGCTGTCCTCTGGCTTAATGCCATCTCCGTCCAACATGTGGCCCAAGTACAAGACTTGCGTCTTGGCCCACTCGCACTTCTTCGCATTGATCTTGAAGTTAGCCTCTCTAAGCTTCTCCAAGACCTGCCTCATATGACCCTGGTGCTCCTGGAGGGTCTTACTAAAGACTAGGATATCATCTAAGTAGACTACCACAAATTTATCTAACCACGGTCTAAACAGGTCATTCATGCAACGCTGAAAAGTAGCTGGCGCGTTGGTAAGTCCAAAGGGCATCACTATAAACTCATAATGCCCATATCTAGTTCGGAATGCAGTCTTGTACTGATCATCAGGATGGACTTCTATCTGATGGTATCCGGACTTGAAGTCTATCTTAGAGAACATCTGGCTAGGCCAGCACCTCCGCTCTACACTCCTGCACCTTCGGTCATCTTATTCACTTCCTCTCTCCTCCTCTTCTTCTTCCTCTTCATTCTCAACTTTCATGCTAACTTTTGCTCGTCTTCCCTCTCTCTTCGTTCCATTGGGTCTGTCATGGCTGCTAGCTCAGCGGCCAGCGCAGCCTTCTCATCCTTAGTCACATAGGACTCCGCCTCCTCATCTTCCCCCAACGATAAATTAGCGACCCACTCGTTGATCTTCTTCTCCAGCTCAGTGTCTGTCTCCCACTTCATCGTGCCACCACTGCTCCCTTCTCCACTCTCAATTCTCATTCTCTCTTTCTCTTCTTCTGCTGCCGCTTCTGCTTCAGCAGTTTTTCTTCTTTCTTCCTCCTCTTGTTGTACTTTCTTCATCTCCTCCTCCAATCTCTTCATCTTCGCCGCCTGCTCGTCTGCGATAGCCTTTAGCTTGGCTTGCTTTTCACGCTCTTTCCTCACCCTACCCATGTACAGTATCTGTGTAGACCCCGAGAATYGAACCTGTGACCTGTGTATTCGTAGGCAGTTGGTAAACCTGTCGTAGGTCCATAGACAGCAGGGGTTCGATCTGTAGGTCTATAGCGTAGGAGTCTTAGTGAGTTCTGGAAGCTTAGCTGTAGACCTTCAGGGGTTCGATCTGTAGGTCTATAGCGTAGGAGTCTTAGTGAGTTCTGGAAGCTTAGCTGTAGACCTTCTAGAAGATAGGCAAGTGGGCAAGTGGTCAAGTGGCGAGGCAAGTGGTGGACTAAACCGCAGTGCAACAACTGTACAACGTCGGTAGGATGGTGGCGGTGAGTCCACAGTCAGTCAGCRGAAGGTCCAGTCAGTCCCAGTCCGGTCCAGCAAGTACCACAGGGGGACTGTGAGCACCAAGGGCCGATGGCAAAGGGCAGACCAACGAGTTTCTGAAGTATAAATCAAGAGGCAGCGCCCAACCATTCACTCATTCCTGCGTGAGCCATGCGGAAGCGCTGCCACAGCGACTTGTGCAAGGAGGTCTGCAGATGAGCCCGGAGGACGCAATGGGCAAGAGAGAGGGAGTTAGTATAGCGATAGGTCAGATGCAGCGATAGCTGCCATAACTGTAGTTAGTAGTGAGTGTGTGTGTGTGTTCGAGTGTTAGAGTGATGCGTATGGGATATCCAGGGTGATCCAGTGTATGTGAACAGTGAGATGTTTGGGCGCTGAAGTCGCCATAGCCAATTAAGAGTGAACTCGTGCCTGAAAGCCATTTCTCTGAGTTTTGAGTGGGCGCATGTCGCCAGTATGCTATGTTGCTGTTTACATGCATGAAAAGTGTGTTTGAGAACGAGTCTGATTGCATTGGTAATGGAGTTGGTACCCGCTATTCCATGCGCGCCGTCGTAGGCAGGGCCTGATGCACCATAGCCGAGGTGGCAGCCGAGGGAGATAGTCCGCCATAGTGGACCTGAGGTTGAAGAAGCCGCCGCGCACCTGCAAGAAGACACGACGAAGA